TATATCTTTTTATATATTTAAATATATAAATAAATATTTATAAATATGTGTATGTATAGATCAAAAAAATCTGATTTTTGAAATGTGAAAGTTGTTTTGTTATTTTTGAAATAGGGTAAAGATGAAGTAGGATAAATGAATTTTTCCTATCCTTAAATTTCATCAACCAGCTCGAATCTTTTTACTTATTTATTTTTGTTTTATAATTTAAATCATATTTGAAACATAAAAAATTCATTAAACAGGAAGATAAATTAAGATATTTTTTAATCATCGCCTGGAGTCTAGAGATGGCAAAATTTCATGTCCATGCCCGTCCAACATTGCTCCATCTTGAATAATAAACGAGATGGTAAATGGGAATTTGTATTCGACCCCATATCCCTATTTTCCATTGGAATTTTTAGATTATAGTCCCTCTCAACCATATAGCATATATTGATGGTGAATAACTTCATTCCAATCAGCCAGATTGATGACGCTATTAGAAGGATTTTGAGAGTCAAAATCAGCACAGGCCTCTTGGAGAATCCCATGGCTGATCTTGGTTTAGTTGATCAACTTCACAACTTGGACACACCGAGAGTACACAACGTAAATATACTCTCTTCCTTGAATAGGCTCAATGGGATCTGGCAGGGCAGGCTATGAGGAAATCACTTGTAGAAGAATGGAGAAAATGTCGATAGCCCTGTACTTCCACTTTTCAAAAAGGTGTCGTTAATCTTAGTTGTTGGTAGCCATGCTAACAATTTTGGATTTCAATGTGGTGGTTGGGCAATAGCTTGGCAAGGACAAGATGGCAACAATTCAACAAAACACCGTAAGAACCAATCTTTAATGGGATACTGGCTGTAGTTAATCAATGTACAGAAATCATCAACAGTGAAAGCCCGGACATGAATTTTGTAAAATCCAATAACTTTTCCTACGCCGTGGTTGTGGTAGGAGAACACCCCTATGCCAAAAGTGCATGGGACAATTTCCCAACAATGTTTAAACACAACTACGTATGTTCGTGTCAATGTCAAGTGTGTATTTCTTGTATCTGGTTGACCTTTGGTGCTTCTGCCCTTTCTTAAATACATTGATGCATTAGTGGTTGCTTGGCTACCGGGAACACAACGCAATGGAGAGGCTGATGTCCCCTTCATGGAATATGGGTATCACCTTCCCATGAATGTTAGTTATTCACACTAGCCCAGTATTCCACCTTGGTTTTGGACCACCACAGAACCGGTTATAGCAAGTTAGATTGAAGTTCCATTAGTTGACAGTTTATTTAGCATGATGTTGCTCTAGAACTTCACAACAAATTTTCTGGGTCTATTAGATGCATATTTGGCAGTTTAAGTAAAATGCATATTAGTGGCATTTAGGCTTAGGTTATCAAACATCAAGCTGTTGAAACAGCCAGAGATAATAGTACGATACAAAGACTCTCTACACAAGCCAATTTTCTGAATAGCTTGTCGTTTCAGGCACAACAAAAAAGCTCTAGTTGAGTCACACGTTCAAGATTCCAATTCCAGAATTTCACAATTAGCCTGCACTGCTTCTTTGATGTTGCATCACCACTTCTATGGATTTGGAAAAAAACAGTCATCACTTGGAATCAAGAATTATAGAGCCAGGGGGGCCAGATCCAATACTTTCTCGTGTAATAGGACTAGAGATTCCATGAAACATAAAAGCAGCCTTCTTTTCAACATTTTTCTTTACAAATATTTTACCAATGACAACAAACAAGCGTCACTATGGCATCATGTCAGGAAAAGGCTGTGTCCAGATGGATACCGCTCCTATCAGGTTGAAGATTCTTCATGTAGTACTTCGATCTTCGAGATAGATTGATCTTTTCCCTCCTTTTCTGAGGTATACATTCGATGGAACACTCGCAGAAGCCACGCCTTACAAACCTGTTTGATTAGGAACTATTATTGAGAGAGAGCTATATAAACCAGTCACCTTACCAGACTCATGCCTGAGTAAAGTTTAGGATTCAGAATGTAACTAATGCTTCTAACTTCTAACCAGTGGACGAGGAACAGTATCTCTAGGGGTACATTTGGCAGACCCGAGAATCAAAAGTTCAGACTCTTTGGGCAAGAATTGGAGTACCATTTTTTGACAATTTATTATCAACTTATACAACTAAACTTAGCTCGATGAAAGAGTAGAAAGTTCAATTATCACTACATGGGATCTAGCCATACATGAAGCCATTTCATAACCCACCATCCCCATCCCACTGCCACACACACACAAATAGCAGTAAATAATGAAACAAAGTGGAAAAATGAATAAAGAAAACAAGATTGATGAAGGGAAAGATAACATGGCAGGAAAAGAGAGAAACAAATCCACATTCAAGTGCTTTTCAAGTAATTTGAGCAGCCGGTTGAATCAATGCTGTACAAATAGCTGCCAAATTTTCTTTCAGCTTCTTTAATGCATTTTCCATGAGATTAATTAATTCAATGTTTAAAAAAAAGGTGTGACCGAGTTCATATTCATAATATAACAATTTGCGAACAAAAAATATATATATAAAGGAACAATAAAGGAAGTGGCAATTAACTATTCCCAAAGTGGGTCTGTGTAGTGTAGGACACAATTTTTTAATGTTTTAGTAGAGCAGTGCACCAATCAATTTTTCTTCATTTTTTTTTTTGGTTACGTTTTGTGGTCTCATTCCTGAAGCAAAATAAGTCTAAAAAATTAAGGTGCGCACGCCACAAGCCTTAAGGCATTGCGGTGAGGCGTGTGCGGAGGACTCAAAAAACAGCCTCTCATTTCGCGCCTTTGGTAGTGTAGTTTCTTGTTCGCCTCACTCTGAGGCAGACATCAATTGGGATTTTTAAACCATGATTTATTATTTGTTTATTTCTTCTTTTGGTGGCAATGGCTGGTCGGGTGGCTTGGGGAGGCAACGACTAAAGGGCAAATTGAACCAGAAATACCTACCAATCTGCTGTTCGTGTTGTCAGCAGGAAAAGCATTTGCAGTCCAAGCGAAGATGCCTTCTTCTCAATGTAATCTGCATGTAATTAACATTGAGGTTATTATCTGTGAAACCGAAGAACTTCATAGAACTATAACTAGATAGCTAGGACCTAACACATGGCATCTCACTTTCTAAAAATTCACATCCTCTATTCCACTATGCAGATATAAGAGGCAAAAGAAAGGTATTTTGGATGTTCCACAAACATTTTGGTGATGAGACCACCATGGGCGGGCACAGGGGCAACTTTGCTCCTTTTTTTACCATTAAATTTTATATGTTTTTGTTTCAATTTTTGAAGTCATTATGGAATGTGAAACGAAATCGAAATATTGCATTCTTAATACCATTTCGAAGTGCTCAAAGTCTAATTTTCTACGTCATTAATGGCATATGAAACTATCATTCGTAGCAAATGTTACGGCTTGTCAAAGTAGGCCGTTTAAAATTAGTATTTCGAAAATTTCGATAACATACTAATTTTAAAAATTCTCAGACGATTGTACATTAATCGAATATACAAATTGATTATGTCATCTTAAAGTTTATTTCGAGAACTACATTATATGCATATCAAATAGTCCAAACAGATATCGAAAATAGTTAAAGATGCGTTAAACGTGAGTCTTAAAGAAAGATATCTAAATCGCATTTTCTTTAATAAAATTTAATTATTTCATTAATATTTATTATTTTTGCGATTCAAATTTCTCAATATAATTTTCATCATTTTAATAGGAAATTTTATATGGAATATGATATCAAAAAATTTTGAAATTTTATATCCAAAAAAGTCATATCTCATGTAAATTTTCGGATACAAAATTACATGGGGTATAATTTTTTTAGACGTAAATTTTCGATTGTAAAATTTCTTCCAACTTCTTTGCAAATTCGATTGTACCCCCCTAACTTTAAACTTCTGTATCTGCCCCTAGCTTCAGGGATTTCATTTTTCTTATTCTTTTGCAATTTGGAGAAAAAAATCCCTCTAGTGGTTTCGGTAAATTGTCTTTTTAATATTTTTAAATGCTAAGGGACACATAAATTACAATAGGACTATAGTACCGAGGTGAACACGATTTGGCGCACATATCACATTTTTAGGGAAAATTTTCGATGTTTGGGATGCTGGAATCGACATCCAGGACAATGTGTCAACGCAGCACCCTTTTATGCCTCAAACTCCCCCTTTTAAGATTTTACCCGAGTTTGTACATGTTAGATGAGTTTTAGTGTTTTTCATTCCTACGTTGACTTCCTATTATCGTTTAATGCATATTTAAATGACTTGTCGCGCAATTAGAGGTAGATATTAATATTATCACCTACCATACAAAACGTGTGTTGTTATGTAATTACATTTCTTATTGACATTATTATGTGGGGGTAAATATTAATATTATCACCTATCGTACAAAACTTGTGTTATTATGTAATTGGCATTATTTATTGACATTATTGTTTTGTTATTGACATGTTATTTTTGTGGCATTTAGCAAAGGCGTTCTCCTTGGGCATGAAATGTATACCTTCATTCATGCTGGATAACTGGGTCATTTTTAATGAGTGAAGAGGGGCAAAAACATTTTTTTTTTGTTTTATTGCAATTTGGGATTGAAAGGATAGAAGCCAAAGAGAAGCTTGATTACTTAATCTTAATATAAGGGAAAAGTAATAACTGGCATGGTTATTCACACATAATTGGAGAGTTGAACATGGGATATGTTGTGGCGTGATCCAAATTTTGTATGATTTGGTATTTGGTTGAATAAAGGAAGTTAAAAGTTTTGGTTTGATAGTCTTGATTGATAAAAATCAAATTTCATCAAGAATTATGAATTTGGCTTGAAAAAAGAGTTTGAGATGAAGATAAAACACTTTGAAAGCCTTTTTACTGAAAGTGGGCGTTGCAGTGCTATAGTCGCGGCACCGCAAGGCCGACGAAAGAAAAAATAGAGAGTTCGGCGCAGCAGCACTGGCGCCCCTGTTGGTGATTACGCCTCTAGCACCGAAGTGCTGGCTTAGCGCCACCATGATATGTTTATCCCCATTTTTTTGAATTTTAAAGGAGAAGATGATGGTGATGGCTATGATACAGAAAAGCCAGAATAATTTTTACACAAAATGTACACAAAGGATCAGAGTAGAACGTTTTCCAGTTATTAGCCTGTTTATTAAAAATGAGGTACCAAAATTACTACCAAATCAAACGAGTTCTGTGTCTACTTAAAGAGATATCTTTCTTGAAAGCAGACTTCGAATAACTCCTAGAGCTTCTTCCGTTAGATAGCCTAATAGTAGTGGCCAGTCTAATTGTAGCTACAATGGTGATAAAATTAAACAACCCCCAATTTCAGTACGAGCACTGGGCTACTAAAAGATCAAAATGAAAGCTGTTTATGTCATACCAAGTAATTTGTCTCCTTGTCCTTGCCCTCGACATTCAGGAGAAACAGCAATAGCAGCAACCTCTCCACACTTGTCTTCAAAAAATGGAAAAAGAGCGGAGCAGGCTATAATTTGACCTTCTCTTTCAACGACTATGAATGAATTCAGTGCTATACGTAGCTACAATACATAAACAATAATGAGGTATTGAACAAACGGTGTGAAGATTATAAAAATTAAATCATGATAACAGGAGCAAACCTCTTCCTCGGTCCTTCTTATCAATGTGCCAGAATCTTCTAAAGGTTGCAAAAGTTGTTTGATTCCAGGGAGATCTGCAACTCTAGCCATCCGAGTTCCTTCATAAAGATCGCTGCATAATGTAGTCAATTCATATGTCAGTGAGAAAATTGTTAACTATAACTTGCCAAACAACTTTCCTTAATCCATCATGTCTCTTCCTTTTGTTTTGGGAAGGGAGGGAGAGAGAGAGGGAGGGAGCAACTCATGGCCTCTACATGGCTATTTTTCTTTCACCCAGTGATACAAGTAAAATCAGAGATGCAATGATGCATGATGATGTCCCCATAAATCACATAATTGATAAAAAAAGGAAAAAAAAATTGCAACTGAATTCGGAAAACAAGAATAATGCATTTTTAGCTTGTAAAAATCATATCTGTTCTGGAATTGGTGGGGCATGGGCCATCATGTGCAGTGTGCCTTTTGTCAATAACAGGATCTAGATGTTTTCAGTGGAATGCAATCTACTAAAGCTCTCTAAATTCCTTGAAGTCCTGTTATCTCACATTCGACAATATAGAAACCGTAAACCAAATGCCTGCTGCGCAGATTTAGCTCATGGATATGGCAGTCCGTTCAGCTTAAAGTACATATAGATTGAAAGCTAACTTTCAAAGGTATCTGCCAAAGAAGTATGCATACCTAGCCACCATGGTACCAACTCCATCTCTTTGAAACAATTCCTTTAATAAAACTCCAGCATTAGTCCCATCTAAAAGATGAACTCTTTGCACACCTCCCTGATAATAAATAGAAAAATGTTATCAGGACTATTCCTGAAACCTACTGTGAGAGGCATCATAGAATCAATGAAACGTCGCGACCTTCTGCCCTTTCTTGGGCAGTCTCAGAAATATATGAACACACAGCCAAATAATATTGATGTCAAGATATCCACTTTGATTGGCAGGAAAAAAATTGTTAAGCAAGTTTATAAATAAGCCACATAATGATAAAAGCTGTAACCATGGAATGGTATCATTAGAATGATTTCCATGATCCCCCAAGTTTCGTATGCCGTGGTGGTTCTCAAAATAATATAGAACCAGAGGATAAAAATCTAGTTACTGCCAACAACTTCTGGCAGTAACAAAACGAAAGCAAAGTGATTACTTTGCAGAAACAGGGCGACATGTTTCATTTAGTAGATCAAATATTTGGATACTAAATAAGACCATCATGTCATTAAATAGCAGGGGCTTACTCTACAAACAAATGCTGCAGCAGCTAATTCAGAGAGGTAACCATTCAATCCAGTGAGTTTTTCTTGACCTCCTATAGCAAAACCTTGTTCACTGGACCAAAGTCCATTTCCATTGTCAAAACCAACACCATTCTGAAATTTTGGAATGTATCTCTCGCTAAAAGCCTTCCCCTTTTGTGAAGGGGCTGTTCGATTTGAATCATAATATGGTACACAAGCGAAATCGTCCTGACCAACAGCTTTTACATAATTAGCAGCTGTCTCGCTTTGCTTAGCCCGCTTGCGAATTAACATGTCCGCATCTTGAAGAGTTAAGAAACTAATAAGTCGTCCACAATCATCTAGAATTGGTCCATCTATTATGCAAATGAGTTTCTCTGCTCCAAGAGACATTGCACAAGCTGTGACAACTTCATATGAGCTGCAATGAAGAGAAGCAGAAAACATTGGTTCCCAAGACTAAACCACCATAGATTACAAAGCAGAGTTTATAATTTCGCCAACAGTTAATTCATGTAAAAGTTAAAAGAATTACAGAAACGAAATCACAGAAAAGAGTTCCAGAAGCACGTAGATTAACCCGTGCTCTTTGGTTTAACGAAACTCGATGAAACGAAATAACAGACAGCTGGTAAACTAGAAGACCAGCAAAAGGAAAGCACAAGTTCTGAAAATAATGCAAGATGGGAGCTAAAAAAATCATCTTCGTCCTTTTTGCCTCGTATTTATTACAGAATGCACAAGCCTCACAAAGTAACATAACCCTCGTGCATATCCCCAAATTCGCAACAAAACTACCTATCAAAAGCCAGGTACCATACTTGCAATTTAATACTTCTCCAGAGCTTGAATAACCGAGATTGTTCAGAAGAACTATACAGTCTTGATCAAGCCTTTCACGAATGCGAGAGACATCTATTTTCTTAACTTCACCAGTTGATGCATAATCAATTCCTTCAACTATTCCTCTTCTCTGAGAAAAACCATACAGAATAAGGAATCAAATAACTTAAAAATCCATACAACCCTCAAGTTGAATATCAGCATTCTTACCTTAGCTGCTAAAAAATTACCACTAGCAACGCTCACACCATCATACAACTGGCTTTTGTCTCCATGACGGCGGACACCACTCAAGGAAGGCCCAGGGGATAACTTCGCCTCAATCATGATTCGAATTCTCCCTGCTGCATCAGTAGCAGCACTAAGAGCATCAGAGTCCGTGATTCTGTAACGACCCACATACTTGGGTTGACATCCTGGAACATGACATATAAATAGTGACCAACTATCCAAAACTAACAAGGCAAGGGAAGTGTCCATGTATAAGAATAATCCAGAAGGTACGTTTTACAACAATGATAAATCACCAAATAAGCCTCTGTTTGATGCACATTTTTAGGGAAAGAATGCATTATGGAAAATATGTGGTTAAAAAAGAAGGAAAAATTTTGGATTTGCGTGTAATATTATTTTATTGAAAATTGTGCGGTTGAAAATGAATATTGAAAGAATGCATTTTTTTTTTAAGAATGTCGATCAAAGGTGCCTAAAAGAATCTTGCGGATAGATACTAAATTAACTAAAGTATTAAAGATGCTAAGTTACATACAAGTACATCAAATTCGAATTTAAACAAACAAAGAGGATGATAGAGTAGTATACTTTGCTTACCTCTTTCAGCCAGAAGCCTGTCTATTTGGACACGGGTCCCGGGTACAATAACAAATTTGATTCCAAGCCCATGCAGTAAAGAAATATCCTAAATGTGACAAGTTAATTCGCAAATTATATTTTGCAGCTAAAAAACAATAATGTGTGAATGCCAAAGAAAAATTCAATCTTTCTTTTTTTTTCTTTTTCTTTTTCACTTCTTGCAGCTAATGAACATAATTACGTGATCAATAAAAACATCAAGGGACTAATTTGAAAAACAGAAAGAAAAGACATACCATGAGAATGGGATCTAAGTGAGAGCTATCGACAATTTCAGAAGAGATCACGATAACAAAAATGCTGCCTCTGTGAGCAAGAAAATAAGGCCAGGCCTCACGAAAGAATCGCACGAACAGCTCGTCTTTAACAGCACTAATAGCTTCCATTCCCGTGCTCTCTGACTCCCGACAAACTTTGATTCTATTCCCCAAACTGCCATTATTAAATTCGATCCCGCCCATTTTTTGGACGTATTGATGTCCACTGTTAGTTTTAGACCTCCAAATGACATTGCGATGGAGAATCGTTTTTCTTGGGTGATTTTGAAAAGGGATGAATAAACTTGGAGACGAAACTGCCATTAAATCAGGGTTTTGAGTTGGATTAAAACAACAAAACGTTGGTTTTCGAGAGCTTAATTATCGCTTAATGGCTGGCGGCGGAATGGCGGGGGTTGTTGAGAGGCGGCGCGGAAATGTCTTAATTTTTTTTTTATTACTTTCATTTAACTTTTTTGATAATAATCCAGTGTTCGGAAAGAATTAAAATCTAAATCTTCATCAAAATTAAAGTCAATAATTAATTTAATAACATATTTTATGGAATCACAGCTTTTTAATTACATATTTTTTTATCAACTTTATCCAAATTTGCTAAATATTTTATTTTAGTCTCCATCAAATAGGGGTTAATTTTTTTTATTAATTTTAAAAGCTATTTTTATTTATATCTATCTATACTATAAAAAGAAGACTACGAAAATAGCATTTCACTGTTTCACAATTTTTTATTTTGATTTTATTACCCAAAAGAAAACAATGTAAAGATGAGTAAAAAGATTTATAAAATTAGGGTTTTGTTATTTGTACATCAGGATTGACACCCCGATGTACATGTCCCCTCATAAATTCATAATAGGAGGTTTACAATTTTTTTATTGGACGCTGATCCCCTATTGTAAGGGAACTGTACATCGTGGTATCAACCCGATGTATAAGTAGCAAAATTCATAAAATTATTATAGAGGCATCACTGCTTTTAACTATTTTATTTATTGCTGTAAAGTTTTCGCTCATCATAATTTATTACTTTCAGATGTGCAGACAAAAAAAATGGAAATTATTAAGATAGTATCTCATGTTTGATGGTCATTATTTTGAGAAAATTGAGTTTTGAATAGTGATTTTTTGGAAATGTGTAGTTAAAAAATAGGGAAAAGTTTTAAGGTTCTATATAAAATATTTTATTGAGTAAATATATTATTGAAAATGAGTATGAGAATTAAAGAGTTTTGCAATAATGATTATCAATCCATTATCCTTCACATTTCTCTACATCCTCATCTTCTCTCTCATAAAAATTGAACTGTCAAATTCCATTATTTCACTTAAATTGCCATATCACCATTAATTCATCATTTTTATCATTATGGTGATAGATATCATTAATCTTATCGAATCGAATTGGGGATAACATATGAATGGGTAAAATTTAAAGTGGCGAGATACATCAAGAATTGAAGACAAGTAGGCACTGTCAATAATTTCACTTGACACCACCACCACAAATGTACAACCCCCATGTGCCATAAAGAACAGCTGAGCCTCCCTCATCTTCATCATGAACATCTCATCCTCAAATGTATCACTCTCCATTGCATCACTTCAGCCACTAGTGCTTCTGCAACAACTCGAGGAAAGTTCAATCATGCTTGGTGTGCATTATTGTATACACCATTGTTTACGTTTTGCCACATGACATTATTCAATTGGAAAGTTTAAAAAAAAAACAATTTTTTCATCCAATTATTTGTTGACAACACTACAAATGTCAACAATAGTGTAAAAAATTAACGTACAAATGACATAAGGAAAATGTTATTTGTACACCGAAGTGTCAAGTGACATAAGGAAAATGCTATTTGTACACCGAGGTTGACATCCCGATGTATAGACCCCTCACAAGAGAGGGGGGCCACGACCAATAAAAAAATCGTGGGCCCTCTCTCTTGTGAGGGGGTCTATACACGGGGGTTGACACTCCGGGTGTACAAATAGCAGGGTCCATGACATAATCCAGAAAAGTTTTATTCTGTAGCCTTTTGCTATCAAATCAGCCAGTCTGACTTTGAACTCTGCTGCATATACAGTCTTTAGTGGGGCCCACACTAATCAGTGTGGGCTGTACATGTACAGTCCACTAAGGACTATACAAAGAGCCTTACCCTTTCGGGTGTTGGAACAGTGCGAAATCAACCAATACCCTTCATTTTCTTGCAGATAAAATTGGGTTCATAATTTTGCCAGCCCCATGATTTTACAACGAAATTGGATGTCAGGCTTATCTGGTTGAGAGAAGTGCAGCGCAAGGTTTACTGACTGCCACATTTTTCTCAATAGACCTTAACATTATTTTGTTGTCCATTATGAAAGAGTACACGCTGGTGACATCAGAAAAAGACCATTGATACCTGCTGAATAATAATACAGTGCTGTCTTAATTAAGAGATTTGCTACACGTACACCGGGTTGACACCCCCCTCACAAGAGGGGGGCTCATGATTATTTTATTGGCCGTGCCAACTAAGCTAAGGGAGCATTAGAGAGGTGACAATAGCATCAATTGAATCGTGTACAGGGAAGTTTCAAGACACTAAACAGGCCATTTCCCTGGACAAATATAAGTCCTTTGAAAAAACTAATTCGGTTTGATTTGAATTGAAATATATAGATGGAGCTTCTCACTGACCATGTTCTTCCTACAAGTCAATAGCTTAGTCTAGTCAAATGTTAGTCAGAATGCATGGGGGTCAACTTATAAAAAATGCATGGTTAACCGGGACAATATGTACCAAACCAATTATATATTGTGTACTTGTACAACAATCTGGCTGGCAAAATGCGTAGTCATGTGGAGTGTTCACCCACTTGAATCAGATGAATCTTCAAAGCCAATGGAACCATCTCCGTTGCTGATCCTGAGCTTCTTTCTTGGGAGCTAAGGTTATTCTATCTGCATTAGCTACAGCCCATTTGTTAAAATCTGGTGAAGAAACCAGACCTTCCAGTGCCTTGCGTGTGGTAGCCCTACTGAATTTCTCCCATTCATCCTTCGAAAATTTTCTTCTCTCAGGTGTGCTGTGGAAGCTAGAAAAGAAATTCCCCGAATCTGACAACCTACCAGATGATTTGCCAATTGAACCTGAGAGTGATGAAACGTGGACAAAGAGGAAGAAGACTAAGAAGTTAGTCCAGAGGTCCATCAAATCAATTCGTCAATACACATATTTCATGTTGAAAGTAAAGTTAACCTTGAAGAGGAGTACGTGGAGAACTGGTGAAAGGTCTGGAAACATAGGATTCATCAATTTGTGAGGCATAGGGATCCAGAGATTTTTCGAATTTTCTTTCTAGTCTACACAATCTTCTGCAAGAGCCCCTCAAGTTATTTTGCATGTCAAAGAAAAAGAAAAATCTAATAGTAGCATTGGAACAAGAAAAAAATAAAATCCGAAATGTACAACAGATACCAAACTATTCATATGCTGCTATGCTAGAGCTAGCAAGAGTGAATCGTGAAGACACTTCTTCAAGGGGATAATATCACACCACTGGGTTATAACCATATTGCATCAATTAATGAGATTATTTTGCAGACTTATAACTTGGACTCACTTGTACACACGACGAATGACCTTTGGATTGCTCAATTTCTTCAATGCTGAAGAAATAAAAATTCCAGCCACCAAAGCCTCCGCATCAAATAAATGATCCTCAGAACTCTGAAGCACAAATACATCATTTTGTTACTTCCCAACAAAAACAGATTCAATGAAACTCCATCATATTGAAATCAATAATCTAAAGCAAAACCTGAAGGATCATTACTGAAGCAACAATCCGAATTGACCAAGCAACAAAATGAGATACACCAATATCTATAGATCCATCCTCTGTAAGTACAAGTTTGCGAACAATCCAATAACCCAGCCAAGCTCCAGCAATCACAAGAAACACATGCAGAAATATTGCCAGCTGCACCACATAAGCACTGAATGTAAGTAAAACATAGAAGAGATTATCATGCACAGAAAAGTATCATTTATTCCAAAGGTGAAAGCAGTGTTATATATGAAGTGCAAAAACTATTTTTTAATCAGTATCTAGGGACAAAGGAAAATTATTATTATAAAATTACCGTCATAAAAAATCACCAATTCTCCTACGGATTAAGAATTTCTAATGTTGTGTTCATTTGACATGTTAAACCAGAATAGGTGTCTTTCACTTTTCTTTAACTATACATAGGCCCCTGTAAAACAGTCAAGCATTACATTTCACCCATATTAAGTACTAATTAAGAAGCTCCTAACCAAAGCCATGAAGGAGCAATAGAGCAGGTGGATGGTAGTGTCTTGCTGCCATAGCCTAGTCATAAGCAATCCTGGGGAGTAGTAGAAATTCCTTCTGTGATCCTAATCGCCTTCAGTGACTGCTAGTGATGGACCTAGATGTCGATACTACAGGTGGTCATGGAAGCCCCTGATACAAATCCTATTGATTCAATATAAACTAAGAAATAAAGGTCTGGTATCAAGCAATAAAAAAGTTATCCTTCCGTAAAAATGGAATTATAACTTATTTGTTGAAACTGGTATTTGCATGTACAGAAGTAGAGTCGAGTCTCACTATATTTTATGCTCATGTACATATTTCCTCTCAACCAATTAATTTCATACAGGAACTTTGTTTAAAGACAACTGTATGTGAAACTAATTTTAATGCTTCAAAGAGAGGAATTTTTAACTATGAGCATATCAATCACGTAAACCAAACTCTACCTAGAGTCTGCAAAAGGAAAACTTGTATATATAACTAACATTTTTGCACAAGAGTTGGCAACATTCAATTGTAATTTTTGCTCTACATCAACGTGTGTGGAAATTTGTCCCTTAACTAAGAAAATACAATGGAACGAAAAGTTCTCTGGCTTGAAGACAATTATATCACTATCTCAATGCTTTAAAAAGGTGCAAGACACTAAAAATATTAACCACAAGAAACTTACATACAGGATTGTACAAGTCTTCAGAAATTCCAATCTCCACAAGTAGTGAACGCAACAATCTTGGCATATAGTCAAGAAGGAAAAACCCTAAGCCTACCTGAATAAAAATTGAACCAAAGTAATCATTATTGCAATAGACATCAGTATTCAAAAGAATGGAGCAGTATGCACTAGGACGCCGAACTCACAAAGCATGAGTACAGAAATATTGCCAGTGAACTCTTACGACCAGTTGGAAGAAGCTTCATTCCCTGTTAAAGTCAATAAAATACGAAGAGTTGTTGAAACACAGCCACACAATTATGAGCTCCTATGAACCCCGAGAGTATCCACACATGCATTTGAACAGATACTCTTTAAGTCCCCTTAGATGAAGTATTGCCTAAACATAATGTTCTGTAAAATGCATGGAAAAATCATACCAATCATTGCCTAGAGGCCTTTCGTAGAATTTAGAAATAAGATAACTGGGAGCAGTAAAGATGTCAATATGATCTGCAAGTTCCAAAGTTATGGACCTACCTGGAAAAGGATCACCAATATCACAAGAAGAACTCCTACAGACATTGCACCACTGTAGTAAAATACTAGAGACTTGCTGAGCCAGGAAGCAAGAGTCATCATCGTTATCCCCAAGACCAAAAATACTATGCGGTATAAGTAAAATTCTGCAAAATAAGACACCAATTTATTAAAGTGCACCAAAATATGTTTTAAAATAGAAATAGAAATTTACCTCCATAGAAGAAGAAAATGATCTGTGAGGATCGAACCTTCATCAAGGGACACGTGGAGACTTTCTGAAGAAGCAGCTCCCATCCGTATATCCAATAGCTTGTGACCAAAAGGTGACATTGATCCAACCCATAAACCCTTGGTAAGTCTCTCCCACTGACTTTGAGGGCACATCCCTATCCCAAGGGACACATTACTGCAGAGTCAAATATAACTTTAAGTTGGTACTCAGAAATATAGATGTGTGCACATCAATGAAAAGGGTGATTGCAACAAAATTATTAATTTGCCATTTTTCTTTTGAAACCTATATAATCTATAAGACGGGAGAGGAAAAGATGTTTTAGGCTCACAAAATATAGCAGAAGTTTCTGCAAGAGATAAAAAATAAACAATAACAAAATTCCATTTTATTATATTTAGGAATTTAGAATTCAATTGAATCCTTTATACAAAAGAGTGAAAGAAGAGGATTTATAATGCACCAACGATAAGTACGGGATAAGGCTCTGTGCAACTGAGTTGAATTGGGATCTACTGATTTAACATACTCTTAAACTTAGATTAGATGAAAATATTAAGGGTTGATGTACTTATGATGAAAAATTATGAATATACAGATCTAATCAAGAGATGTGAGTTAATTAAAGCAACCCCTTATCAACAGTACAGTGGCACACTTAACAAACTAAGGTTAGTCTTGTCTTTATATCAATTTCCTGTCTGTATATCAACCTGTGAAAAAAATTGGATTTGGAAAACATAAAAGACAATTTTTAATTAAGCAAGCAATTCCATTTACTATGACTTAGCATTATGTATAACTAGATTCCAAAAATCAAGCAATTTAATTTATTCTGAGCTAGATGATTTAGCATTATGTATATAGACTCACCTGTGGAAACAGATCTCGACATTCAGTGGACGGCCACTTGGATTTACATATGAAACTTTTATCTTTATCGAATTGGCAAACTTGCTCAAATGTTTAAGCCTTGGAAAGCCATGGATATGAAGTCTCTCACATTTCACATTGGTTCCTGGCTTGGACCCTGGAGACTTTTCCACTATCAAGCTTGGTGATAGCTGCAAAGAGGTGGACTCGCTAATAACTGCAGAACTAAAAAGATAAGCTTAGAGAAAGACTAATACATGCATTGGTGGACTGATACATGCTTTGGTGGACTTGCATATATAGAAACTCTATAATTCTCTTATTTCGATCAAGAGAAGTGGAAGTATGAATCGAGTGAAACTAAAAAACAAAGAGATCCCATAATCAGCAATCAGATGATTCATGAATTACTTGATCAAATTGCATCGCCAATATTATATATACATAAATGTACGAGCAATTTAACACAATGTATGTGACAACTGACATGTATCCCTAATACCATGTCTCCAGCTCAGTAAAATAACAATCATTCGACAGGTCCCGTTGTAATAAGAGGATGATATTTTGTAGGTATCAATATATGAATTGCATAGTTCCAACAGTCATTTAGTACAGGCCATGGATACTATTCCTCTAGAGCAACACTATCCCAAGAGAGAAGCAAAAGGACATAGAACCATGGCATGGTTTTCAAATGCCTAAAACCAATCACAAATGTAAATCACTTCCATACAACAGCAAATACTCCGCAATTAACAGAATCATACTGTTTGTAAGTTGTATATATTCATGTAAAGGATGGACATGTTTGGCATACCATGCTGAAAGGGCTTCAACAATACACTAAACATAATTTCAACTTCCTTTTCTACTTCAGTACTGTCCATTGCTATCCATCCACCTTATCAAACATACCGTGTGGATACGAACTTTTCCCCTCCATTGGAGCTCTTCACCTAACTACAGAATGTTTCCCATGCTTAAAAGTAATTAAAAGTTGATTGTTCTAAATGTAGTACCTAAAAATAAGTACCTTGCCGAAATTTAACGATAGTGATACCTAAACCCTACAATAGTAAACCTAAACCACACCCATGAACACTATTTAAATTTCGTCAATTAAATTGGAAACTACATATTCATCCAATAACTGAGTGCTCCCAAGAAAAAGCTGTCGTCTTTTTATCCTTAAATCCACTTCTCAAAAGATGTTAGGGAAGCTTACCTAAAGAGAGTTCATCTGTGGAGCTAACGGAGGGCAAGAANAAAAGATGTTAGGGAAGCTTACCTAAAGAGAGTTCATCTGTGGAGCTAACGGAGGGCAAGAACGAATATGATAAGAATAGAAGCCATAGAACGCAAGCTGATGGATTTGCAGCGGCCATGGGTTCGGGGATTATGGTCGAACTCAACTGAAATTACGCAGAATTTATGGGGGTATTCACTTTGCTTCGGCAATTAAAACTGATTAATAACAATATGGGGATTTGCTTCTCAGAGCATTCTTTAACTCCATCAAAATATGGGGATTATCAAAAAAAATAATTTATTCACAATTTTTTAACCATATATTTTATTAATTTTTCTCAAAATCTATTAAAAATTTGATTTTTTTTACGCCACACCAAACGGGACTTGCCAAAAAGCTCGTTTGGTAAAGATTAAAATCCAATTAAAATTAAAAATATAACCGTTATTGAGTCTCACTCGTCTAATAAAAGTCAACAATAACAATTAGTTTTTCAATTTTAATTCGATTTTAATCTATACCGAACACGTCCAATTACCCACGCGTGCTTTCTCCACAAATACATATATTTATATAACCAATATAATTTATATTTAATTAAATGAGTATTCATCAAGGTTTACATTTGATTACTACTTGCGCAATAAAAAAAAAAAAAGTTACTCAATTCATGAACTCGCTTTTACATAACGTTATACGTTCATAATCTATCTAAATTCCATCCATCCACGTGGCAAAGGAAAATCCTAAGTAGCAATAAATACTGCTAAAGCATAATAGTTAATTAAATAAGTAGTCACTAACCTTTATTTTTTTTAACATTACTTGCTCATTCAAATATAAAAGGTCGCTGATTGCTGAATTACTTTCTACACAATTCGAATTGTTATATGATTTTCAAGATTCCTTGATTGATTTTTGCAAACTAAATTTTTCACGCTCTATTTTCCTCATTTTTGCATCTACGAAATTTGATTTTTATATGATTTTCGTATTTTTATTCTATGAAATTTGCATAAAATCGTTGTCTTCATGAGTGGGTCTTTTGTAATGAGACTAACAAGTCAACGTTTTTTTTTACTGTCTTTAACAACGGATAAAAATTGTTATCTAACAATTTTTCTAGTAGTAGCGTTCTCAGAGAAAAAACATGTTTGGAGCGTAAGTTATAATTGAGAAATATGAGGTATACTGAATTTCTGATTTATTGTTTTACTGGTAATCACTAATTAATGGTCTAAAAGTTCGTTAAATTTTCAAAAACAAAAGAAATAAACAAAATTTGAAAATAAAGAAGATCAAATGTCTTCGAATAGATCAAATGTTTTTGAATATTAGGCTCGAAAAATATATGAGTATTTCAAATTCTGGATATTGTCGTAAAACGAGATAATGGACGATCACCTGAGTAGCCTTACGATCGAGATTGCTCTGCATCCGTTCTCTAATTTTTCATCGTGTCAAGCAAAAAATGAAAATTTATTTTATCATGAAAAATAAAAAAAAAAATCCAAAAAATTGTAGAAGAAAACATTATAAAAGAATCTGTAAAAGAAAATCTAACCAATTCCTACTAGGAGTCTGTTTGGTACAGATTCTTATTTTCTACAGTAAATCAATTCTCATTTTCAACCACACATTTTTCAATAAAATAATATTTTCCATCACATCAATATTTTTTCTTCTTTTTCAACCACACATTTCCCATCATATCACTATTCAAAAATAAATTATTTTAATCGGTATCAAACGGGCTCTATGGCCCTGTTTGAGAGGGATTAAATTTTTCTACAGTAAATCAATTCTCATTTTCAACCACACATTTTTCAATAAAATAATATTTTCCATCACATCAATATTTTTTCTTCTTTTTCAACCACACATTTCCCATCATATCACTATTCAAAAATAAATTTTTCCCCCAAAAATTCCTACCAAACACACTCTAGGAATAATAAACGAATATGAGTAAATAAAAAAACAACTCGAGAAAAGTAAAATACATTAAAAATGAGGAAAAGAAAAGTCATATAAACGAACTAGCCAGTTAATTGATGGTATTCGCAGAGGAAAAAAATTGAAGAAAATGGAGAAAGCAAACAGTTCTGTGAGAATTTCCTAAAATAAAAATCATATAAATAAATTGGACAATAAAAATCGAAAATAATTTTTGTAAAAGAAAAAAAAAAGAGGAAAATAGAGTGAGTAAAATCGATTTGCAAAAATCAATCCAAAAATTATAAAACTATATAAACAAATCGAACGGGCTAAACAGCACAAAACCCCCTACATATTGCCTTTGTCGCCGAAAACCCCATACCTTTTGAAAATAGCATAAAACATCATTGTTTTAAACATTTCTTGTGGAATACCCCTTGTCATCATACTCTGTCCATCCCACCTACTGAAATTAGCGAAAAAAGTCTTTATTGTCTAATTTCTCAATAAAAGATTGACATTGACAAATATACCATCGTATTTAAATAAAAATAAATAAATTAAAAATAAAAATTAATTTAACTATAGTTCCAATTTTTTAAAAATAAATGCAAACAAGTTCCAATAAGTAATTTTAAAAAAAATCCAATTAAAAAAAATCAAAATAGTGCCGTAAAATATGTGCTTGTGGGAGTGTTGCTAAATTGAAGCACATGGTTAAATAATTGTGGTAAAACAACATGAAATAGAGGAAAATTGAAATTAAAAATTACTCACAGTTAATTGGACGCTTTTAGTCCGCTATTAGCCCTTGTTGGGATGAGGAAAAGCACCGTTGTCAAACATGACTACTCAGAGGAAAAAAAAAACTTCCTCTTTATCTTTGGGAGTGGAATGAAGAATTTGAATGGGATTAGAAGTGGAATTTGGGAAGAACGGTGAGTTATTTTCGTTTTTTTATTGGGGAAGAAGATGAAGTGCTGGGTGAGGACATGAGGTGGGGATTTTTTTATTTTTTGGTTATAGGGAGATTTCGAGATTTTTTATTTTAATTTTTTAATTATTGATTTGGAACTTGTTTGTATTTATTTGAAAAAATTTGAGACTTCATTTGAAATTAGTTTTTCCTTCTTTTCTTTTTGTTTGATTTAAATATGAAGATATATTCATCATTTTCAATCTTTTTATTGAGAAAATAGACACTATTGATCTGTTTTCGCTAATTTCAATTGGTGAAAGGAGGGGTCTTATGCAATTATGAGTAAATTATGCTAGTTGGTGTGTTTAATAAATGACAAATGCACTTGGATCCCGAATTCTCATGCAATAATCATTTTTAACTTTACTTCTACACTTTGGCAATACGATTGGATTTTGACGAATCAATGTTTCTATTTTATTTAACAATCTTTATCGAGTAATGTTAAATATACTCTCATATATGATCCGACTATATTTTTATGACGAATGCGAACACATAAGAGCACATGAAATTTTTATGAACATTTAAAGATTCACATACAGTATATCGATATATTTATATCCCTTATCGGATCTTAGGACAATTTACACCATGTCGAACTTATTTTCCTTCTTTCGAATGTATAAAATAAGTTATCAAATTCAAACAATCACAATGCACAATTGTAGAGAAAATATAATCATGTAAATCATTCAAAATCAAAAAAACGTGTTTTTAATGTCAAATATATAAAATTAAAGATTAAAAATCCATATTACAAGGTTCATCGTTTTCCTAATACAAATAAATCTAGTCAACATGTTATAAAGAAGAAAACAAAATATATAACAATTGTTCATCATCCGAAAATTCTTGAATTCAATTTTGAAGTTCTTGAAATTGAACCTTAACATGTTATTTGCCTCCTTTCACAATTAATTCTCGACCCCCTAATTATGTTTCGAGAGTTTGTATTTATAATCTCCCTAAAGAGTCCCAAAAGATCTCCAACCAAGTGGAAATTTCCTTGTTAAAATTAAATTCTGAAGTAAATAGAATTTTCTAGCCAAATTGGCTTGGGCAAAGCACCCATCAAACATACTAAGTAGCTTTTGTAATTAAGGTTAAGGTCCGAGAGGCCACCTGACCTATATATGCACAGTTAGAAAAACTTCTCGAATTTTCTTTTAGCCATTTTATTCATTCTTTCTTCCATCTTTGTCTTTTACATTAGATTACTTCGATTTTAATAAAAACAAGTTGATTAATTATTTTATCGACATTTTTTTTCTTTTTCTTGACTCATGGTATTTTTAACAGACTTGTGTTTAACATGAATGATGTCAAATAACATTGCTCTTATAAATAGAGATAGTAGTAGATGAGACTAAATGTATGGATAATAATTAGTAGATTCGTGTTATTCGACATTGATTGAATTTACAAAATAATGATTTTAAAAAAAAATTCTCAATTGTGGATCTCATGAATTTGTAGTTAAATTCAATTATTGACTTTGATTTAAAGTTTAATTCTTTTTTTTTACCGAACGGAGTAATAGTATAGTAAGAAATATAGGGAGAAGTATTTTAATAGTTTCGATTGACTCGAGTTACCAAGGGCAAAACCTGGAAAAGATATAGAGGTGGGCTACGATTTAGAAAATTTTCAATGAACTCACGTAATAAAAATTGCTCAAAATAAGTAAATCTTTACTTATAAATATGAATAAGTAACGCGTGAAAATATATAAGCCTAGTCAAACATGTAGCTCTCTTACTGTTTAAATAA